AATAGCTTTGGACATGGAGGCAACCTAGATGTCCATCAGCAGATGGATGGATAAGGAAGTTGTGGTACATATACACAATGGAATATTACTTAGCTATAAAAAGGAACAAATTTGAGTCAGTTCTAATGAAGTGGATGAAATTGGAGCTTGTTATACAGAATGAAGTAAGTCAGAAAGAGAAAGACAAATACTGTATTTTAATGCGTATGTATGGAATTTAGAAAGACAGCACCGACAATACAACATGTAGGGCAACAGAGGAGGCACAGATGGAGAACAAAGGAGAACAGATTTTTGGATTCACTGGGAGAAGGCGAGGGTGGGATGATTTGAGAGAATAACACTGAAACATCTACATTACCATATGTAAAATAGATGACCAGTGCAAGTTCGATTCATGAAGCAGGGCACCCAGCGGCAGTACTCTGGGAAAACCCAGAGGGATAGGGAAGGGTGGTAGATAGGAGGGGGGTTCAGGATGTGGGGACCACGTGTACCTGTGGCCAATTCATGTTGATGTATGGTAAAAACCATCACAATATTGTAAAGTAGTTACCCTTCAATTAAAATAAATAATTAAAAAAACCTGTATCCTCTCAAGTAGAGATACTTACTGATCTAGTACTTCTAATTAATTCACTGTTCAATAATCATTTGTGAAACATGGCTGATGAGTTAGGCACTGTTATAAATTCTGTGTCATGTGTGGTGAAAATAAGAAGTCCCTGCTGTCATACAGATTCTATTGTAGAGAAGGGAAAGTGAACAAACAAACAAACAAGTAAGATAATTTCAAATAAATACTCTGAAGAAAATCAGGTATCATTATACCTTGCTCTGCCTTCTCTCCAGTCTTTCTGATTTACCTCTTCCAGAGTGCTCCAACTTTTAATCTTGTCACTCCTCCACTTGAAACATTTCCATGGTTCCCTGTTACTTTTATGATGAAACCATAGCTTCTTACTACTCATAATTTAGACCCTGTCTGCTTGTCCAATCTGATTTCCCTTAAATTCTCTACCTTCCAGAACCACTCTCCTACCCAGCTGAACACCAGTGCTGTTTCTTCACATCTGGGACCTTTCTGTCTCGACTACCCTCTCCATCATCTCTTGTCACACAGAAACACCTTTCCCTGGCTGACTCCTATGTTCTCATTCAGTTTTCTCAAGCATCACTTCCTTTGCTACACACTCACTCCCACACACAGACCCTACATATTGGGATGGGTGACCCTTCTGCCTTTATGATGCCCCCATGTGTATTTTTAGCATTTACACCCTGTATTATAAAACTTTCTTCAGGTTTCTGTTCACCAACCCCCTCCAAATTAACTTCATGCTATCAGATACTATTTTTTTAATTCATCTTAATAGTCCAAGAACAATGACCAGTATATATAGACATTTGCTAAATGACTGCTATATTTTAAAAACAAATTTTAATGAAAAATAATAAGTGAATGGGAAAAAACAAGTATTACTTTTGAAAAGCCAAAGAATCTCTGCTCTGTACTAATCTCTGGCTCTTTATATTTTTACAGCTCCTGTCGGTGGGCAGTTTGGTGAGTTCTCCTTTCTTATGTTCTTCAGTGTCACTGGATAAGAGTGTCTCTCTAATAAATATGAAATATTTGTGACAATTGTCTGAGGATCTCTAATATTTCCTGTTTCTCTTGCTGACATTGACAAGGATGTGAAAGTGTTACCTGGTTTACTCGCATTGCCCTATGGCCTGGATAGCTACATAGTCATCTTCAGACCCTCCCTGGAAGAAGTAGCAAATGCTCAAGCAGCTACTGGCCTTCCCTGGGCCCTGCATTTAGTCCTATTGCAAATGAACCTCAGATCACAAGGCAGGACAACTTAACTCCATGTCAAATGTTTAGGACTTGGGATAAAATGTTCTCCAGTCATCAAACCCAAAAAACTGCTCTGAAAACATCACAGTGGAAATGTTTCATTCTCTGCAATTTTCTCTCCAGGAAATGTGTGGAGGATAGAGCATCCAACAAATGGGCCCTTAAAAGGAAGCAATGCACAATAAGAGGAGATTGGGGGGGGGGAATATAAATTGTCTGTATCCTACATTTTTTAGAGTTCTGACTCTTCATTGACATTCGTTTGGATCAGAGGGCATCTTGGATATTTAAAGACCCATGAATAGCAAGAACTGTCTACAACCTGTCTCCTGTCCAAAATCAGATGCATCAGTGTTTCATTCTTATCTAGACCATCTCTGGATTCTAGCTAACACCTTGTCCATCCCTTGCTTTACCATAATTAGCTATGATGGGCTTTTAATTTATTTTTTTGATAGTGAAACAGTTAAGTGTTTATTAGGAGGAAAAAGGGTACAGTGCATGTGGATAGATACACGGGCAGACTCAGAGAGAGAATTGCTCCATCATGGTCATTTAAATCACTTACATGGGGCATTTCTTCCTGGTTCCCTTTGGCCAATCATTTTGATTTGCCTGGTTCTGAGTCTGTATTTGGTATATCTAAGGATCCTCCCACCCGTGTGTACACATCTCTTAGCCAAGATGGATTCAGGTGAAGAGACCTGTGTATAGATTGAGCATCGCTATTTTTTTTTGATAGGCAAAAAGTAAATTGGTTAATATAGGATGCTTGTAAGAGAGGCAAATGGACAGGCGAGGAAGCTCTGTCCCCAGGATTGAGTGGGCTATAGTTTTATAATGAAAAAAAAGAGGAGGGGAGAAGACCTCTTTCTTCAAGTACTTGTAGATGCAGACATAAGGCATACATCATTAGCTCCTCCTTCAATATCAGCCAGAAAATTGTCTGACCCTATGAGGTCAAACTAGGATTATCATATTAGTGGAAGGGTGGTGACAGTTCTTCCGTCTAGCGACCTGGGGCATATCTTGTGGTTTTGTTTATGGTTTTATAATTAAGCAAGCTTGCTTCATTGACCAATGCTCCAATAACTTTCTTGGGCTATCATTAACTTGCAATGGCCTCCCAAAGTTTCCTAAGTTACCTTCCCTATCTATAGTCCCCTACTAAGGTCATCACTCTCTTTTGATTTTCAAGGAGCTTTCTAGTCGGGAAGGCTTTCTTGACTTTGACAATGAGAAATATGTGGTCTTATCTTTATCTTTTTCTGTATATCATCTATAAAATGAAAGTGTTAAGCAAGTTAATCTCTCAAGCTTTCGTCAGTGCCAAAATCTTAATATGATTTATCCCTTTTTTTGTGTGCAAAGTGCAAAACTGTGACTTTAACAACTCCTTGGGAAGTTCTTATGAGTTTATGAAACTGATAAAGTGGCAGAGGATGACTTTTTCCAGGATCCAAATCCATAACAGACTAACCAACCATTTTTCCTATTGACATTTGGCAGTGAATCTTGCTGGTATTGCAATCTTGAAACCACTTTGCTCACTGCCATCTCCTCAGCAGACACTTTCTTCTGGGTGAGAGCTCTGGTTGAAACAAAGCCATGAACAGTGACCTTTCCCAGGGGATTTCTTGGGGATCCTCCAAAGTCAAGGCCTCTAGACTGTGCCTCACAAACCACTGTGATGGGACTGTAGGCCACTCCACCTCAGATTCTTTCTTTTTCCTCCACAGCAACTGAAATAAAATCTGTAATTTCCCTCCATCCTCCATGGACCACTCTCTTCCAAGGAGAGACTGCAACACTGACTTGCAAAGCATTTCAGTTCAATGCATTGCAGAAAATAAAACGGTACCGTTGGTATCTTCCTGGAGAAATACGAACTGAGACAACAGAAAACACCTATGAGGTCCGTGAATCTGGAGGGTACAAGTGCCAGGCCCAGGACTCACACTCAAGTGATCGTGTGGACTTGATATTTTCTGCAGGTGGGAAAGAAATGAAAGGAAAAAAAAGTTTAGGAATAATAAAGTGACTCAAAACCCAGCTGCATAAACCACTGCAATGATGTAAAGTAATTAGCCTCCAACTAATAAAAATAAATGAAAAAAAAAAAAAAGCTATAGAACTAAGGCCCAAGAATTTATATATTTTACAAGCTGCTCAGGTAAAAGAAAATTTGAGAAGCAATTTATTTGAATGGTTTCTGAATCTATTTTTAGTTTGAGGCTTATAAAATTTATTTAGAATAAAAATCTATGTGAGGATTTGTTAATATTTTATAGATAGGTAGATAGAAGATAGAGAGGGAGTAATTTCCATTTCTGTCTTAAAACCACCTATTTTGAATGAATTTGAGGCAGTATCTTTCTAGTTATAATATAATGCTCTTTAATTTAGTGAAAAAGGAACAGTATAGTAGCAAAGAGCTAAGAAAATGCTTAGCCTCTTTGACCTGACAATTCTTCTCTTAAGAATTTACCTACTGAAATAGTCATAGATATATACAACCAAAATTGAAGAATCTTAAATGGTCAAGAAGAGAAAATTCATGAAACAAATTATCTTACTGCCATTGAAGGAAAATGTTGTGGTCATTGAAAACCAGGCTAAAGAATGATATTGATGACATAGGAAAGTATTCATAGTAAAGTAAGTGAAAAGCAAGTTATCAAGTGGATAAATATTTTAATTTCATAAAAAGAAATACATATAGACTTTTATATACATGCACATAGATAAAAGAACTGGAAAAATATATGCTAAAATCTGGGTGGTGAGTTGATAAGATTAATTTGCATTTCTGTTTTAAGCATTTTCTCAAGCATATGTGTTCCTTTTAAAGCCAGGGAAAAAAGGGATTTCTCTGGTGGTCCAGTGGTTAGGACTCTGTGCTTTCATTTCAGGGAGCATGGATTTGATCCCTGGTTGAGGAACCAAGATCCCACAAAACATGTGGCATGGCCAAAAATAAATAAATTAATTAAATAGATAAAATCAGAAAAAAGAAATGATGATTACTTTAAGAATCCTTTTTCCTAGTCCCCAGTCTTTTAAAATCTTTTAGAATAATAGTGAAAAGAAGGGAGAAACAGTCAGAAGAAACAAACAGCTGCCCTTGTGTTTTCTACAGCCAACCTGATCCTGCAGGCTCCAATTGATGTGTTTGAAGAAGACTCCGTGGTTCTGAGATGCCAAGCAAAGGCAAACATAGTACTAAATAACATGACATTGTACAAGAATGGAAAAATCCTGGAAATCCTTAACAAAACTTCTGACTTCCATATTCATCAAGCAAGTATGAAGGACAATGGTGAATATTACTGTAGTGGAGTTAAAGATAATCACTTTGTTTCTTCAAACAAAATTAAAATCATAGTCCAAGGTAAAGTGTTCTTTATTTTGTGAAATAGGTTAGTCAAAATGAGGACGCCTGAGATTGTAGAGGATAAAAAGGGCGGACTGAAATGCTACTAAATCTCAGGGAGCATTCCTACAAGGAATAGAGAAAGTACTACTATGCTTTGGGCTGAAGGATATTAGTAATCAAAGGCTGCATCTTTTCTGCCTGCTTTTGTATGTTCTGCTTGTGGGTGCTGAGGATGAACTGTGTTTTTCTCCAAAGCAGTTCCAAGCCTCAGTTCCCTGAGAAATATTGTGATCCTTCTCTCTAGAGCTGTTTCCAAGTCCCGTGCTGAGAGCCAGCTCCACCCAGCCCACTGAGAGGGACGCAGTGACCTTGACCTGTGAGACTCAGCTCTCTCAACAGAGGCCAGAAGGCCAGCTCCTGTTCCGCTTCGTCAAACAATCAAACAACGTGGGGTCAGACTGGAAAAGCTCCCCAGAATTCCAGTTCTCTCCCATACGGAGAGAAAACTCAGGGTCTTATTGGTGTGAGGCACGGAGAGTGAATTCCCTTGTCCAGAAACGGAGCCAGGAATTACAGATACAGGTACAAGGTAAGTGTTAGTGGGTTCTGAGATTTGCCAGAATGGGGCTGAGAAGGGCTGGGCAGAATGACACAACAGTTTGTTTTTCTTTCAATACTGTGAGACACAACTTGTTCTTTTTCCTCTGAGGTTTGGCTTCCTTGACATCTTTTTTTTTTCCTGGTGGGCCTATAGGCATGGGCTTCCCAGGTGGAGCTAGTGGTAAAGAACCCACCTACCAATGCAGGAGACATAAGAGCCCCGGGTTCGATCCCCGGGTGGGGAAGATCCCTTGGAGCAGGGCATGGCAACCCACTCCAGTATTCTTGCCTGGAGAGTTCCATGGACAGAGGAGCCTGGCAGGCTACAGTCCACAGGGTCACAAAGAGTTGGACACAACTGTAGTGACTGAGCACACACACATACACTATAGGCATAAACCAGATGCTACCACAGAGCCCTTTGACTGAGCTAGATGGACTCTACTCAGCCAGATGGACAGATTCTTAGAATGCTAGATGCCTGAAGCTGAGCACTTGAGAATAAGAAAACTAAAGGACAAGAGCTTGGGGAGCAAATATTTCTAACTGGATGCATTTAGGGATGATGTTTTTTCCACTGGGCTTCCCTTGTGGATCAGATGGTAAAGAATTTGCCTGCAATGCCAAAGACCTGGGTTCAATCCCTGGCTTGGGAAGATCCCCTGGAGAAGGGAAAAGCTGTCCACTCCAGTATTCTGGTCTGGAGAAGTCCATGGACAGTCCATGGGGTCACAAAGAGTCGGACACAGCTGAGCGACTTTCACTTTCACTTTGTACCCACTACTGCTTTTTCCTGAGTCTTTGAAACTGTATAGATCCTCAAGCATGAATGCTAACCAATGGTTAAATGCCTCTTCTGATTTATTTTGACCTATTGGTATCTCAAAAGAGCATTAGGAAGAATTCAGATCTGGAGTGCAGGCTCTCCTGAGTGAGGAAGGAGTGAAAATGGTTAGCATTCTCCATCAATTTGCTCCCATTCCCAAGCAAAAGAGATGATTCCATGTTTCTTCCAAATTATCTGAAATGGAAAGTGTTACTTGCTCAGTCCTGTCCAACTCTTTGTGACCCCATGGGCTAGAGCCCACCAGGCCCCTCTGTCCATGGAATTCCCCAGGCAAGAATACTGGAGTGGGTAGTCATTCCCTTCTCCAGGGGATCTTCCCAACCCAGGGATCAAACCCAGGTCTCCCACATTGCAGGCAGATTCTTTACCATCTGAGCCACCAGGGAAGCCCTTGATATTAGCCTAGATATTATTAATCTTTGCTCTCCAATCACAGGCAACAGTTTTTTCTTAGGTGTATGGTTTGGACTGGACAATTCAGAGGAAGTGGAGAGGGTGTTGCAACACAGTGCTTTCTAGCATAGGATCTCCCTTCGTGTTACTGATGGAGCCCAGACCCCAAATCCTACTCCTTATCTGTTCCCAGGTATCTCCCATTGTTCTTTAAGCCTCCAGGATGACTCAAAAAGGCATTGCCCTTAGCCAGTATCCTAGTGTAAAACCACAACCACCTGGAGTGTAGAACACTTTCATCCCAGATTTTCCCATTTTAGGAGGACTGTCACAGGTCCACCTCCTCTGACAATCTAACTGACAGGCAGGGGTGTTAAGAAGTGCTTACTCCAGGGCAAGCTTGCTGTATATGCCAACTACTGATTTCCAATAAAGCACCAAAGTTGTCACAGCTTCAGAACAAGTACCTCCAGGGCCAAGTCTTCCTGTCCTTCGCCATCCCCACCACTTCAATGTTGGGCACCGGGAGTAATTTCCAGGATGACTGGCCCATGCTTTGTCAGGAAGGGCATGAGGAGAGGGGGGGGCATTTTATTCCTTGTGGAATAAATGCTTCCTGGTGTCTCAGATGGTAGAGAATCTGCCTGCAATGTGGGAGACCCAGGTTTGATCCCTGGGTCGGGAAGACCCCCCTGGAGAAGGGAATGACTACTCACTCTAGTATTCTTGCCTGGGAAATCCCATGGACAGAGGAGCCTGGTGGGCTCTAGTCCATGGGGTCACAAAGAGTTGGACAGGACTGAGCAAATAACACTTTCAGGAACTGGTAGATGCTCCACCAGTTCATTAGGAATTGAAGTTCTCCCAAACCATTGTCTCTCCAACACTTTCTCCATCTTTCCAAGCAGAAATCTCAATTCCCCCCGAGGTCAACTTCACATCAGGTCAGCAGACTTAGCCCTTCCCTTTCTGTGACTCCTTCTTCTGTGTCTCATTCTGTGATACCCCAATGCCAAGAATCTCACATGCCATTTTTATTCATTTAGAAATTGTCCAAATACACTACTACCCAGAGTTCGTGTTTGAAGGTCAGGAGCTGGTTCTCATCTGCTCAGTAAATGGAGCTCCAAAGCCCATCACAGTCTCCTGGTACAAAAAACAAGACAGACTGCAGAAGGACATAGAGCTTCAAACTTCCTCAAAAACAGAATTCAAGGTCTCTGTGGTGCAAAACAGCGATGCTGGAGAGTATTACTGTATTGCCAGAAACAGTCGCTTTTCCAAACAGAGCAACTCAGTGATCATCAGTGTGAAAGGTGTGTCTGCCAAGTATCATTTGCAGAATGGCTTTTCAAACTTTGTAAAGATCATGAGGTGGTTGAGTGGGAGTGGGTATTGATGGTTGCCAATAATTTACTGCTATGAATAAAATACCAGAAGTTAGACTAGTGGCAGGGGGATTTAGGGGTAGAATGGGTGGGAGCTTTTGGAAACTCCTATAAATGAAGGACAGAGAAAGTATTCAATGATTGGCATATGTGTGGGGTCTTCATATTTAAAAATTTCTTTTTAAATGCAATGGTTCCTGAACAAATAGAATTTTAGAGCTGGAATGATCTGGGGCCGTGTCTCTTGATATGAGGGCCCTCTTTCTCTTGTAGTAGATCACCTTTTCTCTGTGTCCTCATATAACCTTTCCTCTCTGTCCTTGAAGAGAGAAAGGTCTCTGGTATCTTCCTCTCCTGTAAGGACGCCAGTTCTATCTGATTAGGGGATCAATCTTCTTTTATGACCTCACTTAACCTTTGTTGTTGTTTAGTCTCTAAGTTGTCTGCCACTCTTCGCAACCCCATGGACTGCAGCATGCCAGGTTCCCCTATACTTCACTATCTTCCAGAGTTTGCTCAAATTCATGTCCATAGAGTCAGTGATGCTATCTAACCAGCTCATACCCTGCCACCCCCTTCTCCCCTTACCCTCAATCTTTCCCAGCATCAGGGTCTTTTCCAATGAGTTGGATCTTCGCAACAGGTGGCCAAAGTATTGGAGCTTTAGCTTCAGCATCAGTCCTTCCAGTGAATAGTCAGGGTTGATTTCCTTTAGGATTGACTGGTTTGATCTCCTTAGAGTCCAAAGGCCTCTCAAGAGTCTTCTCTAGCACAACAATTTGAAAGCATCAATTCTTTAGCACTCAGTCTTCTTTATGGTCCAGTTCTCATATTCATACTTGACTGACTACTGGAACAGCTGTATCACTGATGACTATACAGACCTTTGTCAGTAAAGTGATATTTCTGCTGTTTAATATGCTGTGTTTTAGGTTTGTCATAGCTTTCCTTCCAAGGAATAAACATGTTTTAATTTCATGGCTGCAGTTACCATCTGCAGTGATTTTGGAGCCCAAGAAAAGAAAATCTGTCACTGCTTCCACTTTTTCCCCCTTCTATTTGCCATGAAGTGATGGAATCAGATGTCATGATCTTTGTTTCATTGAAAAAGCCAGCTTTTTCACTCTCCTTTTTCACCCTCATCAAGAGGCTCTTTAGTTCCTCTTTACTTTCTGCCATTAGAGTGGTGTCATCTGCATATCTGAGGTTGTTGATACTTCTCCTGGCAATCTTGATTTCCACTTGTAATTCATCCAGTCTCGCATTTCACATGATGTGCACTGCATATAAGTTAAATAAGCAGGGTGACAATATACAATCTTGTTGTACTCTCCCCAATTTTGAACCAGTCCATTGTTCCATGTCTGGTTCTGTTTCTTCTTGACCTGCATATAGGTCCCTCAGGAGACAGGTAAGGTGGTCTAGTATTCCCGTCTTTTTCTTTAAAAAAAAAAAAAAAGTTTTATTCATTTATGGCTGCACTGGGCCTTTATTGCTGCACCTGGGCTTTCTCTAGTTGCAGTAGGGGCTACTCTTCATTGAAGTGAGGGCTACTCTTTGTTGCAGTGAGCAGACTTCTCATTGCAGTGGCTACTTTTGTTACAGAGCATGGGATCTAGGTGCTCGGGCTCAGTAGTTGTGGCAAACAGGCCTAGTTGCCCCATGGCATGTGGGAATCTTCCTGGACCAGGGCTCAAATCTGTATCCCTTGCACTGCAAGGTGGATTCTTAACCACTGAACCACCAGTGAAATCTGGTATTCCCATCTCTTTAAGAATTTTCCACATTTTGTTGTGATCCACACAGTCAAAGTCTTTAGCATTGTCAGAAGCAGATGTTTTACTGTAATTCCCTTGCTTTCTCTATGATCTAACGAATGTTGGCAATTTGATCTCTGATTCTTCTGCCTTTTCTAAATCCATCTTGTACATCTGGAAGTTCTCAGTTCACATACTGCTGAAGACTAGATTGAAGAATTTTGAACATAACCTTGCTAGTGAGTGAAATTAGCACAACTGAATGGTAGTTGGAACATTCTTTGGCATTGCCCTTCTTTGGGATTGGAGTGAAAACTGACTTTTTCCAGTCCTGTGGTCACTGCTGTTTTCTAAATTTGCTGAAATGTTGAGTGCAGCACTTTGACAGCACCATCTTTTAGGACTTGAAATAGGTCAGCTGGAATTCCATCCTCTCCACTAACTTTGTTCATAGTATTGCTTCCTAAGGCCCACTTGACTTCACACTTCAGGATTTCTGGCTTTAGGTGAGTGACCAGACCATTGTGGTTATCCCAGTCATTAAGACCTATTTTGTATAGTCCTTCTGTATATTCTTGCAACCTCTTCTTAATCTCGTCTGCTTCTGTTAGGTCCATATTGTTTCTGTCCTTTATTGTGCCTATCCTTGCATGACATGCTCCCTTGGTATCTCCAACTTTCTTGAAGAGATCTCTAGTCTTTCCCATTCTATTGTTTTCCTCTATTTCTTTACATTGTTCATTTAAGAAGGCCTTATCTCTCCTTGCTGTTCTCTGTAACTTTGCATTCAGTTGGGTATATCTTTCCCTTTCTCACTTACCTTTTGCTTCTCTTCTTTCCTCAAATATTTGACAGCCACTTTGCCTTCTTGCATTCCTTTTTCTTGGGGGTGGTTTTGGTCACTGCCTCCTCTACAGTGGTGTGAACTTCCATCCATCATTCTTCAGGCACTCTGTCTACCAGATCTATTCATCATCTTCTCTGTATAACCATGAGGTATTTGATTTAGGTCATATCTGAATGGCCTAGTGGTTTCCCCTACTTTCTTCAATTTAAGTCTGAATTTGGCAATAAGGAGCTCATGATCTGAACCATGGTCAGCTCAAGGTCTTGTTTTTGCTCACTGTATAGAGCTTTTCCATCTTCAGCTGCCAAGAATATAGTCAATCATTTAACCTTAATTGTTTCCTTAAAGGCTCTATCCCCAAATACAGTCATATTGGAGGTTATGACTTCAATATATGTATTAAAGAGGGACACAGTTCACTCCATAACACCATTCCCATTGACTTTGAATAAGTGTCTCTATCTTGTGGGCCTCATTCTTCAACCAGTTCAGATACTATCATCCCCCTTAATATGTCTGCAACCTCTCTCTCTCCCCTTTCTTGAGCCCCAGCATCTGCAGAACTCACCATTTTTCTCTTTTCTTTCTTTGTCCTTTGAATCCCTATATGCTTTGGTTTCCAATCAATCATAGCAGTTCTCAAATAATTTCTCTATCTCAGGGTTATGGAGATATCGGTTGTTCCAATCAACAGTTAATTGTTTTCAATAACCAATGTGCAAATCCATGTAGGATACAGCAACAGGTAGTAATATCAGTCACTCCAACCATGTAACTATGGTTACTGCTGCTGCTGCTGCTGCTAAGTCATTTCAGTCATGTGACACCATAGACGGCAGCCCACCAGGCTCCCCCATCCCTGGGATTCTCCAGGCAAGAACACTGGAGTGGGTTGCCATTTCCTCCTCCAATGCATGAAAGTGAAAAGTGAAAGTGAAGTCACTCAGTCGTGTCCGACTCTTAGAGACCCCATGGACTGCAGCCCACCAGGCTCCTCTGTCCATGGGACTTTCAGCAAGAGTACTGTACTACACCACCATAAACTACACTACCTCCTTTACCAGTATCTTACCCTCAGTACTGTTAATGTAGTTGTGGTAATGACAGGAAAATAGCTTTGATAGAGTCCTGTGCTGTTCCCTTCATTGGTGGCAAGCTCCACTTCCACTTTTAAGGAGTTGTTGTTATTTAACTTTGGAACAGGAGTCAGGAGACAGACTTAGGTCCTGTCTGGCCCTGAAAACATCCTGCTGAGTTACCACAGACAGATCTCCTAACCTCTTCCTGACTCAGTTTTCTCACCTGTAAATAAAGAGGGTCAGGCTGGATACAAGGAGAGTGTAGGAACAGAGAAGATTCTAGAAGAGTATGTGAATGTGGGACAGAAAAGAGAAAGGGGCAGAGGCCTGAGGCCAATCTCAGCAAAGGAAAAAAGGAGAGAAGGGACTGACAGGAAGATTAAGAGTGGCTTGGGCAGGTGAGGGGAGAAATCTTCCAAGTCATATGGCAGAGGGAAGGAGCAAGGTAAATGTGTCGGTCTGATGGTAGCAAAATCAGGGATATCTTCCCCAAGAACATCATTTCCCTTGGAAAATGGGAGTAAGGTCACCTAACAAGGGGAGATAGGAGAGAAGGGCCAGGTCTGATGGAGAAGGAGAAAACCTACATGGAGAATAGGAAAGAGCTGGGGAGAAACGTCAGGAGACGGTGGGCTATCCTGAAAGCCAGTGGACACGAGACTGGACATTTCATTAGCCGCTGATTGACAGCTTCAGGAAGTGTCAGGAGCAACTGCTGACTAAGTTTTTTCTGTCCCTCAGTCCCTGTGTCTCAACCTGTCCTCACGCGCAGACCTCTTGGGACCTGGAATCTTGTGACAGATAAGATGAGCCTTCAGTGTGAAGTTCAGAGAGGTTCTCTGCCCATCTGGTACCAGTTTTTTCATGAAGATGTATTGCTTAAGGAGATAAAATCCACTTCAGAGAGAAAAATGTTCCATAGATTGTCTCCGACTGAAAAGCACTCTGGAAACTACTACTGCACAGCTGACAATGGCCTTGGCCCTCAGTGGAGTAAGGCTATGAGTAAGTAAGCCTGTCTATCATTAGTAAGCCCTAGGTTCTGTTAGAGACCTATACTTGACCTCTATCCCTGACTGCTCCAGAAATGTGTTCCCACCTTCAAGTTTCGCCTACTTTTTCATCTGGCCAAACCAATGTCCTTCTCAATACCCCAGCTCACTGACACAGCTATCTGATGCTTTTCAGCCTGGTTCCTTCAGCAGCTCATGTGCCATTGTGACCTTGGCAGCCTGCACAGCAGCT